GAAGTGGTGGTGGCTGGTTTCGGAGACCAGGTCCGAACAGGCACGGGGCCGTCCACCTGGCGCCCTCCTTAGGACTGCCCGCTCCGCGGGAAGCCGGCTGCCGCGGGGTGAGGCCTCTCGGGCAGGCCTGCTGAGTGAGCCTTCCGTGCACGAGCCGTCTTGGAAGGGGAGCCGCAAGCCTTCAGACCTCACAGCCCCAGCCAGCACCTGACTGCAAACCCATGAGACGCCCTGTGCCCAAACCCTCCAGCTGAGCCGCTCCCACACTCCTGACCCCCAGGAACTCGAAGACAATAATTACTGTTTTCAGTTACTTGTTTTTAATTGGAGGATGTTTGCTTTACAATATTGTGTTGGTTTCTGCCATGTATCAGCAGGAACCAGCCACAGGTACGCGCATGTCCCCTCCCCCGGGCCTCCCTCCCCATCCCACCCCTCCAGGCGTCACAGAGCGCTGGCTCTGAGCTCCCCGCGGCACGCAGCAGATTCCCGCTGGCTGGCTGCTTCACATAAGGTAATGTATATGTCTGCACGCTACTCTCTCTGTTCATACCACCCTCTCCTTCCTCCAATAATTACTGTTTCTAAGGTGTGACGTGTTGGAGTAATTGTCTGTGCCCTGAAATACAAGAGACACGGCCACTTTTCCCCCAGGATAGGTTAAACTCTAAAACTGATGAAGGTGGGTCTGAAGGAACAAGAATTTCTGGACCCTGGGCGTTTGTTTAGAAGTTAGGTCCCGTAAAGATTGGGAATTGCTCTAAGAAGGCTTAGTGAGCAATCCATATAAAAACATTTTGTAGGTGATAAACAGCTAGTAGATTATTATTCCCAGGAGTGTCATCAGCAGATCCCAAACTACACTCAAGGCCATCTCGTCTCGTACCCTTCTTCCCATCCCAACGTGTCACTGTTGTTTAGTCACTAAGTTGCATCTGACTTTTGTGCGACCCTGTGGACTATAGCCCACCAGGCTCCTCTGTCTGTGGGATTTCCAACATGTTAGGTCTGTGGTAATCCGTGTTCTTCTAAGGAAGGAGAATGATCTGCTGACCAGGTGCCCGATGTTGACACATGAGGCCACCTCCCATTTGGCTTCCATCAGTTTCTCTTTCTAGAATCATCGCCAGGAGGGACCCACACACCCTGAATTTTGATCACCTGCGGGAGGCTGACCCGCTTTCTAATTAGACTTCTCTGCCCAGGCACTTCTGCTGAAAGTTTTACCCAGGAGGAAAGATCTGAAATGATCGTGTCAAAGGTTATGGAAGCATTTACACGGCAAGTGAGGTCTCGCTTAATAATCAGCAACAAAAAGAAGAAGAAGGGAATGTTTGCCTCAGGCTGCCATTCTGCAATGTACCATTTGTCAAAAGTGGAAGGTAAGCTTCTGTTTTCTGCAAAGAGGACATGCTGCTGCTGATGAGGAAGAGGTCACCATCCACCCCATTTGCATACAAATTAAGAACTTTCTCATCATTTTTCTTTGCAAGTAGGAAGAAAAGTTGGCTTATCATTCTAAGAAGTAGAAAGCTCTTCTCAGGTAATCTTGTGTGTCTGTTACAACATTTTGAATGCAAGTGAGAGAAGCCCAACCCAATTCTAAGTAGCTTAAGCAAAACAGGTGACTTTGTCTAACCAAACCATGAAAGCAGACAGAACTTAGCTGGGGGAAAAAGAAGATTCAAATGTCATCTTTCTATCTTATTTCCTCTTTTCTCTAAATTGATCTCTTTCTTTGTCTACAAAGCTGAAAAGTGTAAGTGTTAGTAGCTCAATAGTGTCCAACTCTTTGTGAGCTGAGGCTCCTCCGTCCATGGGATTTCCCAGGTAAGAATACTGGAGTGGGTTGCCATTTCCTCCTCCAGGGGATCTTCCCAACCCAGGGATCGAAACTGGGTCTCCTGCATTGCAGGCAGATTCTTTCCCACTGAGTCACCAAGAATCTCTTTGTCTACAAGGCTAAACTCGTGGCCAAATGGATATCCTCAAACCTGAACTCCCCGTCGCATACTCAGTCCTCTGCTTTACGTCACCATTTGTGTGTCTGGCGGGGCTCTCAAGCTCAGCAGCTCATAACTTAGCTCCTGCTCCTCCTCCTAAAGTCACTCCTCCTCCAGCCTTCCCCTTTCAGGGTAGAACAGATGGCACCACCCCCCACCTTCTCAGCCACGCACAAGCTGGGAACTTCAGCACCATCTCTGAGGTCTCCCTGTCTCTTCCGCTCGGAGTCACTCAGTAAATACCTCTCCAGCCCAGTCATCTCTTCTATTGCCCCCCCACCCCCTAGTGGAGTCATCTTCCTTTCATTGTAGGTTATGGTAATTTCCTTCTGATGCAGGGGTCCCCAAACTCTGGGCCACAGACCGGTACCTCCCATCTGATCACTGGCGGCATTACTTTAGGAATCAAGTGCACAATAAATCAGTGCACTTGAATCATCCCCAAACCATCCTTCCCACCCGGGTCCAGGGAAAAGTTGTCTTCCGTGAAACTGGTCCCAAAAAGGTTGGGGACTGCTGTTCTAATGGATCCATCTCTCATCATCCCTGACTCCCTCTGACTTTTTCTCCACTTGGTCACCACCGAGATCCTTAAAAACACAGATGGATCCTGCCAGTACTCTGATGCACACCCTCCTCTTACTGTTAGGATAAAACCCCACATCCTTCCCAGGGCATGAGCCTCCCCTTCCTCGTCTGGACCCAATTTCCTCTTTGTTCTCCAGCCACTCTCCTCCTTCCCACCTCACGACTGTTTTGTATTTTTCTTTTTTTCAGTTAATTTTTTTAAATTGGAGTATGGCTGCTTTAGAATGGTGTATTCGTTTCTGCTGTACAAGAACATGAATCAGCTTTAAGCATACATACATCCCCTTCCCCCTGGGCCTCCCTCCCACCGCCACCCCTCATCCCAGCCCCTGGATCACCACACAGCCGCTTCCCACGAGCTGTCTAGTTTACACACGGTCGCGTAAATATGTGAGTGCTACTCTCTGATTCATCCCACCGCTCCTTCCCCGGATGTGTCCACAAGTCCACTCTCTACACCTGCATTTCTACTTCTATCCTGCAAATCGGTTCATCAGTGCTATTTTTCTGGATTCCACATACATGCGTTCAGTTCAGTGACTCCGTCGTGTCCATGGGCTGCAGCACGCTAGGCTTCCCTGTCTATCACCAACTCCTGGCACTTGCTCAAACTCATGTCCATCACATCAGTGATGGCATCCAACCATCTCATCCTCTGTCGTCCCCTTCTTTTCCTGCCTTCTATCTTTCCCAGAATCAGGGTCTTTTCCAACGAGTCAGCTCTTCGCGTCAGGTGGCCAAAGTATTGTAGTTTCAGCTTCAACATCAGTCCTTCCAATGAATATTCAGGACTGATTTCCCTTAGGATGGACTGGTTGGATCTCCTTGCAGTCCAAGAGACTCTCAAGAGTCTTCTCCAACACCACAGTTCAAAAGCATCAATTCTTTGGTGCTCAGCTTTCTTTATAGTCCAACTCTCACATCCATACCTGACTATTGGAAAAACCATAGCTTTGACTAGATGGACCTTTGTTGGCAAAGTAGTCTCTGCTTTTTAATATGCTGTCTAGTTTGGTCATAATGTTCCTTCCAAGGAGTAAGCATCTTTTAATTTCATGGCTGCAGTCAGCATCTGCAGTGATTTTGGAGCCCAAGAAAATAAAGTCTCTCACTGTTTCCATTGTTTCCCCATCTATTTGCTATGAAGTGATGGAACCAGATGCCATGATCTTAGCTTTTTGAATGTTGAGTCTTAAGCCAACTTTTTCACTCTCCTCTTTCAGTTTCATCAAGAGGCTCTCTAGTTCCTCTTCGCTTTCTGCCGTGAGGCTGGTGTCATATTTGTCTTCCTCTTTCTGAGTTACTTCTCCCCATATGACGGACTCTAGGTCCATCCATGTCTCTACAAGTGACTCAATTCCATATACATATATATGTGTGTGTATGTGTGTGTGTGTGTACACATACACACACACCACATCTTCATCCGCTCTTCTCTCGATGGCCTCCATCACACGGTTTCCTTCTGTTCAGGATGCTCCTCCCTCTTTCTTTCCCTACTTAGCTCCCATTCACACTTCAGAGTTGGCGTGTGGGTTTTAAAATAAGTCCATGAATCCTCTGATATCCTTCCTTCCAGAAGCCTAACTCCCTCCCTTTCTGAGTGGACTGGACTGGACTCACTCCCAAGGGAGAGAATACAGCAGAAGGGGTGATGTGTGCTTTCTGAGGCCAGGTTGTAATGGGCACGGCGGCTTCCCGCTTTCCTCTCCTGGGGGGGCCCACTTGGGAGAGGCTGGCAGACTCTGTGGGGACATCCGAGCAGCCCTCCAGTTGGGTCTACAGCCAGCAGACCCTCTGCTTGCGGCAGCCCGTGAGTGAGTCTGGAAGCAGATTCTGGTCCCCGGCAGAGCCTGCTGATGATGTGGCACCAGCCAGCCTCTTGTCTGCAGCCGCACACGAGACTCAGCCAGGCCCACCCGTCGGGGCTGCAGAAATGGAGACAGCAACTGTTCATTGTTCCAAGGCACGACGTTTTGTGGTGATTTGTTACCTAGCAATGGACAACTGACACTGTCCCTTCCAGCGTTGTTCTCTTTCATGGCACATAGGACATTTATACTTAACTAGCTATGGAATTCACTCCTTAGACATGGGATGTCCCTGGTGGTGCAGTGCCTAAGAATCTGCCTTGCAATGCAGGGGACGCAGGTCCGATCCCTGGTTGGGGAACTGAGATCCACCACGCCATGCAGCAGCTAAGCCTCTGCGACAGCCAGAAAGCTGCAGCGAAAGACCCCACACGGCAGAATGCAGATCTGAGTGCTGCAGCGTAGACCCGGCATGCCCAAACGCATGAATGGTACACGAGAAACACTGACGAACAGCTTCTAAAGAACTAAACTTTACATATATAAAAGAGAAGTGTCTCCTGCGGTCTCTGCAGTAGCACTTAGAGGACATGCTCACAGGAGCGAACTCGAGAGCACACACCCTGCCGGTGGTCGGTCAAGGGCATCAGGCGGCTGTGCCGCGCCAGGCAGAGCAGACACCGGGGCCCATCGTTTCAACAACCCCTCCTTTGAAAGACAAAATTATCCTTAGTAATAATCACAGACCAAGAACTATTTCCCTGAAATAGCCTTTCGTTTTAAAACAAACAGTGAAACAACTCAGAAATAAACTTTTAAAGATATGATTTGAAGTCAGTGAAATATATCTCTTGCACACACTAACATTTGCACACGCCACACAAGAATATGAGAGCTTGTGGGTCTCCTTCTGTTTTGGTATTTTAAATGTGGAGAACAAAAACTCCAAGTGGTCACAGTGAATGGCAGAATTGAAGGAACTCAAACTGTCTTTGTCTTCACAACAACCAAGCTACTGCTTATGTTGACTCCACCACTGAAACACAGGAATACGCAGGATCACAGGGTTGTGGACCTGAGCATCACCCCACAGGGGTCCTCACAATGACGAACCCTGGAGAACCTCCTCTGAAAATGGGCACACGCAGCCACGTTCCTGAGTGTTGGGGGCACATTGTACAACCCTCCACATTGAATCTAATGCTTATCAGAGGATGAGTCAGACAACTGTGCCAGCCGGAAGCTGTATCCCTGAGGCCCAGTGGTAACAGAGGAGAACCGAAACCACCGAAAGGACTTCGGGACGGAAGCACATGTTGTCACAGGCGTTATACAGAATTGCCAGTGTCTGGTGATAATACAAAGCAGGTCAGCTTCGAATTGGTTTAATTATTGTTTTCAAATTCTCTGCAGGTGGCCCTCTCCTTCCTGGGACCCCTGGGGAAGATGCCCCCTACTCCCCATTCAGCTCCCCTCCCCACACATACCACTCCTGGGACGACCAAGGAATGATCTGTCCAGTTATGAACTATGTGCAGGACACTGCGGGGTCACATCTTTTCTTCCCCTTTTTAAAAGTGGAATCTGATAGGAGTATCCTTGCTTTATAGAGCATTGGTAGAGCCCCTGCTGCTCTACCGTAGGTTCTCACGGGTTCTCTGTTTCACTCATGGCATCAGCAGTGTATGTCCATCAATCCCAATCTCCAATTTATCTCACCCCCCGCCATTTCCCCTTGGTGTCCATGCGCTGGTTCTCTCCATCTGAGTGTCTCTCTCTGATTTGCAAGTAAGATCGTCTGTACCAATTCTCTAGCTTCCATGTTTATTGCTGATATATGGTATTTGCTTTTCTCTTTCTGACTTACTTCACTCTGTATGACGGTCTCTAGGTCCAGCCACGTCTCTAGAAATGAGGGGTCGCTTTTTGAATAAACAGAGCTGGCGCCGGTGGTTTGGAGGCATTTGTGCCGGACACTCTTTGGGGGGGCCCCTGCTGTCAATGCTCCGAGGACCGTGCTCCGGGAGGTGGTCCCCAGGGTTACTCTGGGTGCCCCAGCGCCACCCCAGTCATGGATGGCACCCCCCGGTCACAGGGGTGCAGTCACCCACACCTGTCTTCAGCTGCAGGCTCTTACGCAGCTCACGCATCCCGTGGATGGACTCGGGCCCTGTCTGCAGAAGCCCTTCCAGTGTAAGCACAGGCTTGTGAGAGGCACTCGGGATGTTGTCAGCTTATAGCTCCGCTTCCCAAGCAGAGTCTTTTAAATACATTTAAATATTTCAAATTGTGTCTAAATTTTTTAGAATTCATAAATTTGGAACAGTAACAAGATCATAAAAGAAAAAGCCTGTTTCCAACCAATGGGAGACAGAACTAACTTATTTATATGTTTATCATTTATTTCCACTTCCCACCTGGATAGTCCCTGGAGATTTGATTTCTCGTTTCCTGGAGAATCTAAAGACAGAAAGCAGAAGCTGGTGTTAAATAATCTTTGTTCTACACCCGTTCAAACTACCTGCAAGACACTAGTCATTTGTCCTAATGTACAAACATCAATCCAGGGAACATGAAATTTTAACTATCAATAAATATTCCAACATCCGCACACACGGAGCATCTAATCCCAGCATCAAAATGCAGATAGGCATGAAGAGAGATTTGGATTTATGACAAAAGGAATCTTGTCGGGAAGCCCCTCCCAGAAAGATCTGGGGGCTGGGCGTGAAGTATTCAGGATGATGCCTGCTTCCCTCCGCACATTTCTGCCAAGTCAGTCCTGTAATCCCGTTTAATTAATAATAAACATTGCAGCGTACTCCCCCCGCATTTAAATATGCTTGAAATGAGATGACTGGGTGCTTCTTATAAAAATGCCTTGAAAAATAAACCATGTCAGAAATGAGTGATTTATGATCACTCCGAGTGTCGGCAGGGAAATCTCAGAAGAGAAGAGAATTGATGCTGCTTCCTGCTGGCATTTCCGCCACCCGACAGGTCTGACGTGCTTTCCTCCCAGGCGTGTGCACGAGGCAGCTTTCCCACGAGGGGCTCCCCTCTGTCCTCTTATGCTCCCTCTCTTCCCTCTGCTCAAAACCTGGGTGTTTGGAGGCCAGACCTGTGGTTATGCTGCAGAACCCGGCAGGGAGCGGGGAAGGACCGCCGAGCTTGTGGGGTGCTTTCCACTGCGCTCATCAGCGCTCTTCCAGTTGCCAGAGTCGGAAGGAAGATGGAGCTTTCATTGCCTGGAAGACACTGACTGAGCTACATTCCACTGTGAAACCTTCACTGTTCGGCGACCTCCAGGCCAAGGTTCCTGAACGCATTCTACCCACTTCACAGGGTAGTTCTGCTTTCGATAACCTGTTCTGTTAGGAATGGGAGCAGCGATTTATTGAGCACTTACTGTGTACCATGCACTAAGTTTTTTATGTGAATGATTTCTCTTGATTTTCAAAATTGGTATGAATAGCATCCCCATTTTACAGATGAGAAAACCAAGGTACACAGCAAGCAAGCGGCCAAACCAGGAAAGAAACCCAGACAGTGCCTCCAGAGTCCAGACTCAATCCTTTCAATATACTATTGGTTATTAACAATAATAGGTGGCCATTTCTGAACACCAGAGACCATGTGATGTGTTATGTCCTTTGCGAATATTGTCTCCTTACAAAGCCTATGGGACACAAACTATGCCCAGGTGTGACTGTTGAGGAAATGAGGTTCAGAGAGCGAAGTCTGCTGTCTGAAGAAAGGCTTAGAGCCAGCGCGTGGGCCCAGCTCTTGCCAACACCAGCGCACATCCTCAAGATACTTATATTGTGTTATTCCTCTTTCCTGAAAGGGCCAATGTCATGTTGGTGAGGTCTCTGGGGAGCTGGAACTGGGCAGACCCTCCAGCATCAGCTCTCTTACATCTGGTTCCTGCTGTCTTTTGTTCCTTTTGCTGTCTTTTCACACCTCCAATGGAGAGAGCCAAAGAATGATGCTATCAAAAATAATCTTTTTTAAAAAAATTATTTATTTATCTAAAAAATTATTTTTATTGGAGTAGAGTTGCATTACGACGTATTGGTTTCCGTTGTACAACAAGGATGTAGACACATTTCCACTCTTTTTTGAATTTTCTCTCCATTTAGGTCAGCATGGAGCATTGAGCAGACCTCCCTGTGCTAGGATCTCACAAGTTACCTATTTTGTATATAAAGACGTCCTTTCATTATAGGGGGCTGGACTGCAAAAGCAGGACGTCAAGAAATACCTGGAGTAACAGGCAAATTTGGCCTTGGAGTACAAAACGAAGCAGGGCAAAAGCTAATAGAGTTTTGCCAAGAAAACGCACTGGTCAGAGCAAACACCCTCTTCCAACAACACAAGAGAAGACTCCACACATGGACATCACCAGACGGTCAACACTGAAATCAGACTGTTTATATTCTTTGCAGCCAAAGATGGAGAAGCTCTATACAGTCAGCAAAAACAAGACTGGGAGCTGACTGTGACTCAGATCATTAACTCCTTATTGCCAAATTCAGACTTAAATTGAAGAAAGTAGGGAAAACCACTAGACCATTCAGGTATGACCTAAATCAAATCCCCTATGATTATACAGTGGAAGTGACAAATAGATTCAAAGGATTAAATCTGATAGAGTGCCTGAAGAACTATGGATTGAGGTTCGTGACATTGTACAGGAGGCAGGGATCAAGATCATCCTCAAGAAAAAGAAATACAGAAAGGTAAATGGTTGTCTTTGTGAGGAGGCCTTACAAATAGTTGAGAAAAGAAGAGAATCTAAAGACAGGAGAAAAGGAAAAATATACCCATTTGAATGCAGAGTTTCAAAGAATAGCAAGGAGAGATAAGAAAGCCCTCCTCAGTGATCAATGCAAAGAAATAGAGGAAAACAACAGAAACGGAAAGACTAGAGATCTCTTCAAGAAACTTAGAGATACCAAGGGAGCATTTCATGCAAAGATGGGCACAATAAAGGACAGAAATGGTATGGACCTAACTGAAGCAGAAGATATTAAGAAGTGGCAAGAATACACAGAAGAACTATACAAAAAAGATCTTCACAACTCAGATAATCATGATGGTGTGATCACTCACCTAGAGCCTGACGTCCTGGAATGTGAAGTCAAGTGGGCCTTAGGAAGCATCACTACGAACAAAGCTAGTAGAGGTGATGGAATTTCAGCTGAGCTATTTCAAATCCTGAAATATGATACTGTAAAAATGCTGCACTCAATATGCCAGCAAATTTGGAAAACTCAGCCACAGGACTGGAAAAGGCCAGTTTTCATTCCAATCCCAAAGAAAGGCAATGCCAATAAATGCTCAAACTACCGCACAACTGCACTCATCTCACATGCTAGTAAAGTAATACTCAAAATTCTCCAAGCCAGGCTTCAACAGTACATGAACCATGAACTTCCAGATGTTCAAGCTGGATTTAGAAAAGACAGAGGAACTAGAGATCAAATTGCAAACATCCACTGGATCATAAAAAAGTAAGAGAGTTCCAGAAAAACATCAACTTCTGCTTTATTGACTATGCCAAAGCCTTTGACAGTGTGGATCACAACAAACTATGGAAAATTCTTAGAGAGATGGGAATACCAGACCACCTGACCTGCCTCTT